AAAAGATTTTTTTTCAAACTAATGAATAACGCAGTATTTGGTAAAACTATTGAGAATGTAAAAAAATACCGAGATGTTAAGTTGGTTGGCAAATGGTTGGGAAAATTTGGAGCAAACTATTATATTTCTCAACCTAATTTTCACAGTTGTGTAATGTTTTCCAAAGATATGATTCTACTTGAAAAGACAAGATTAAAAGTAAATTTCAATAAACCCATTTATGTTGGCACGTCTATACTTGATATTTCTAAAACCCTCTTGTATGATTTCCATTATAACTATATTAAACCAAAATTTAATTCAAACGCTCAATTGTCGTATACAGATACAGATAGTCTAATATACCAGTTGATGATATTTATACATATATAAAAGAAGATATATACACTTGTTTGATACCTCAGATTACCCATCCGATAATGTATATAAAATTCCACAAAAAAATAAAAGAAAGTGTTAGGTCTTATGAAAGATGAAAATAGTGGAAAGATAATGAAAGAGTTTATTGGATTACGATAAAGTGTATTGTTTTACTTTACAAACAACAAATAAAGATAAAACAAAATGTTATTATGAATGCGTATTTAACAACAGCATATTTGAAGTCTCAAAAAATTATATCAGATCTGAAAAACATAATGTATTTACCATTGCACACCTAACCTAACTAAAACAGCTCTTTGCCCATACGATGATAAAAGGATTGTTAATTTAAAGGATTGTAAGTGTTTCTTGCCTTGAACTGCTAATATAGAAATTAATACCAAACTGTGTTCGTCATAATGTGGATCAACCTGCTTTCACTACCGGTTTCGTCCCTACCCCATCATCAGGTGAGCCTTGGATCGATTCCACGAAATGACGAACACAACGCAGAGTATGTAAATACGACTTGTCGTTAAGTAGCGGTAAGATATTAAGTTCCGCATCGCGAGATAGCGGCCTGCGTGCAATGGTAGTATTTCGTACCACCGAGGCACAACTATCGATAGTAAATAATTGCTTTTTTCGGCTAGCACAAAATATATAATGGAAAATAAATTTCTTCCAGTTTTTAGGTATACAGGGTTGTTCATCACATACGACACGGAGTTTAGCTACAATACTCCTGATGAGATTTTTACAAATCGTAAGTTTTGGTGTCGTTGAAGGACTATTAGAGCTACAATTTAAAAATATTTTTACAAGATACAGAGTGTCCCAAATAAAAAAAATATCAAAGTTGTATTTTTTAAATGGAACACCCTGTATATCATTACATTTTTAGTTTCTACGATTAAAATAAAGGTAAATTTGAAATATTTTCAATTTTGTGAAATTGCAGTAAAAATTTAAAGGCTTCATTTCTCCAAGGGTATCAAAGTTTTTAATACTAAATATTTACTGAAGTTTATTTATTGATCAGTTATTGTGTTGCAATAATAAAAATAATACTACCTTATACAGAGTGTTTAAAAATTTATTTTAAATAATGATTAGCTTTAAACGGCAATAACTTGTTTAATTTAAACGGAACACCCTGTATATTTTATGAGAATCAGATGCACAATTTAATTGTCTATCAAATTGTATTATGCTATTTTTTACCTACATATCTCTTTAAGTTTCCGTAGAAAATGCATTTTCTTGTAATTTAGTATATTAATTATTTATTATTTTTAGTATATTATCAATATACCTATGGAATACTGACATTTTAGATTATTTTTAAAGATGTACGAAATTTTTAAAGAGTACAGATACTAATATTGTCGATATAATACGTTTATTTCATTAAAATATAAAAAAAGCTATTTAAATATTTGTTAAAGAGGACACCAATTAATATGATTCCAGTATTCAAACTACATTAAGTGCCTGTTTGCGTTGATTAATAACAATTGCCCCAAATACTAAATGTATTAGACAGTGTGGTAAAAAGTAACACCTTAAAAATGATATTTAATTTTTTAATAAATGCTTATTTATAACAGAGACGTTCATTTTCATAACTTATTATTATATTGATTTCTGATTCAAATCCACATTTGTTTAGAATAATTTATTAACGAACACAATTAAGTATGTAATTAATTAGTATTTAGGCGGAAATAATGGTGTTATATTTAATTAATGGTATACTCTTATAAATATTTAAATAGTTTTCTTTTTGCCTACAAATGGGCTAGTAATATTACCGTTTTGCTAAAAGCGATAATATTACTAGCCCGTACATTTTGTACATTTGTTGCTTTAAAACAATTTAAAATGTCAATATTCCATGGGTATATTGATAAATGAGGTCTAAATTATAAGAAAATGCATTTTCTACGAAAACTTGAAGGAATAGGTAAAAAATGGTATAATACAATTTGATAGACAATTAAATTGTGCATCTGATTCGCCTAAAAAAGAGAGAGAGAGATACAAGGCGTTCCATTAAATTAAAGAAGTTATTGGCGTTTCGAGCTAGAAATTATTTAAAATAATTTTTTAGACACTCTGTATGAGGTAGTATTATTTTTATTATTGCAATACAATAACTGATTAATAAATAAATTTCAGTAAATATTTATTATTAAAAACTTTGATACCCTTGGAGAAATGAAGTCGTAAAATTTTTACTGCAATTTCACAAATTTGAAAATATTTCAAAAACGGTAAGGTTTAAGTGTAATAAAACTTAATCAAATTTACCTTTATTTTAGTCGTAGAAACTAAAAATGTAATAATACACAGGGTGTTCCATTTAAAAAATACAACTTTGATATTTTTTATTTATTTGGGACACTCTGTATCTTGTAAAAATATTTTTAAATTGTAGCTCTAATAGTTCTTCAACGAACCCAAAACTTATAATTTGTGAAAATCTAATCGTTTAGCTACAATACTACGTGTCGTATGTGGTGAACAACCCTGTATAATAAAATTATATAAGTGTCTTGCCTTGAACTGCTAATATAGAAATCAATTCCACACTGTGTTCGTCATAATGTGGATCAACCTGCTCTCACTACCGGTTTCGGGGCCCTACCCCCTCATCAGATGAGCTTGGGTCGATTTCACAAAATGACGAACACAGCGCAGAGTATGTAAATACTAGTGATGGGAATAATCGAATTATTTTTACCATCGAATAATTAGTAACAATTCACATTTCACAATCGAATTAATAATTCGAATTATTTAGTAGAATTATAAATTTAACCTAAAAATAAATTCGTCCCAGCTAGTGCTCGTCTAGGGGCTATTTTAAACAAATCTGAATCATTGCCGTACCTATATTCTATCATTGAATAAAGAATAATAAAAAAATATTCTTTATTCAATGTATTCTATTAGCTGTGCCGAAGCCGTTTAATAAATTAAACGATAATTTATAGTTTTAAACTTAAAAGTGCCGAGTTTATGATTGTTATTGTTATGGCCTTTTATAAACATTTAAATTCCTATTGAACACCTCCTCTCCAAAATAAAAGCTTCTTCTAAAACGATATAAGTATGTCCTTGTTTACGTGCGGTTCGTATTTCTTTTTATTTTATCAGTGGCAATCAATAATTATTTAGATAAAAGAAGAAAATTAATTTTACTGTTCGGCAGGTGTTAGGCGAAATTTGGGTGAGATGGAAATGAACCAAATAATAGTAGTATTCTTTCGTTCTGAACGAAATGAAAATTTTCACTTAAACTGATTTATTCCTACGTGGTATAGGAAATAACAATGATTTCTGGATTTTTCTATATCGGGTCGTTCCTTTCTTTGTCGATTCCCTTTATAAATCAGTTTAAGTGAAAATGTTCAGTTCGTTTAGAACGAAAGAATACTACTAATTACTAATATTCGTCATAAGAGGCATATAAGAGGTTATGTTTTATGTTCATTTGTAATTCGGTTACCACAGATATAAAATACTACTAATTTTTATCTCGATTATATCGAAAAAGATAATCGAATTAGTTAGTTTTAATTTACTATCGAATTAGTCGAATTATTTAATTCGAATTTTCCCAACGCAAGTAAATACGACTTGTCGTAAAGTAGCGGTAAGATATTAAGTAAGTAGATATAAGTCATATTTTCTTCTCCCTTACAACTATTTAAAAAATACAGCGTACTACTGCGTTTTTCGTCCCCCTCTAGCATTTCTTGATGATTTTGATTTAAATGAATGATATAATTTGTTTGTTTTAAGTTTTTTTAAGTACTGTGCTATGATGTAATACAATTTGATATTGACAAAATTATAGATTGACAAAAGTATGTAGGAATTTGTCTGGTTTCGCATTACTACCTGTTCAGATAAAATTTAAAAATTGAGGTGAGTTTTCTTAATTAGTTAAAATCGGCTTGTCCAAAATTGTTCAAACTTGACATGTGTATTCGGCATATGCAGACCTTTAAAAAACTATTTACGACCTCGCCATAAAATCAACAAGGGAGCCAATATTTGGACAGTTCAAAATTTGCAGGGGATTTTCTGTTTTCAACGACAATGCACCACCTGGCATAATCTGTGTTGAAAGGAAGTAGGGGCGCTATTCTGTACAATCGTCGGTATCGGCAAGTTACCGACAGCTATCGGTACGTACGGCCAATGAGCGTCGTGTTGATTGTTGTTGTCATAGTTACCGATCGGCCCTATGACAGATATCGCAAATTTGTACCGACGACTCTCGGTATTTCTACCGTGAGGTTGACAAGGGCACGGTAGAGATACCGATTTTCGTCGGTACAAATTTGCGATATCTGCCATAGGACCGATCGGTAACTATGACAACAACAATTAACACATTTTTACTATATACAAATATGTATCGAGAGCTGTCGTAACTTACCGATACCGACGATTGTCGATGCCGTGTACAGAATAGCGCCCCAGGTATTGATTTTTATATTGGATTTAACGACAATAATTCTAAATAAATTAATATTAAAATATTAGTATTTTATTATTGTTTTTGTAAGTTGTTAGTTGTGTTCAATAATTATTATTTAAAATTATTTTATGTTAAAACTTACCCCTGGTGTTGCTTTGAATAATACAGGCGTTTCCACATCAACAAAATGATTATGAATTAGAAATTCTCTCATTCTCATTAGTAACTTAGACCTAACCCTTAAATTCCTTTGCATCTCAGGAAATCTGATATCTAAGTACCTATACTGCATCCTTAATGATTCCTTTGCTTTCTGAAACTCTCTTATATAAAATGGAAGATTATTATTGGCTCTATTTACTAAAACGTAACTTTCGACTTCAACCTAAAATTGTTATACATAATAAAGGTTATATTATAGAAAAATATCAATATTACTTCTATTTCACCAGTTTTTTGATTTTTGTTAATCATGGACAAAGGTCGAGGTACAACTTTACCCTTTACTTGCAATATCGATTCATAAGGTACTTTTTCAAATAACGTGTCATTATTACTTTCCTAAAAAAGAAATACTATGATAGGATACGCAAATGACACTCTGTGTCCGTAGGAAATATAATAACTTGATAATTGCAGTGAGAAATATACAGGGTGTCCCAGAAATAAGTGCAAGTATTTTAACTGGTAGTATACTTCAACCCCAGAAACACGCCTATGAGGTTTTTTTCGCGAAATTTTTTTTTAAATTCGAAATTTTTTGAAAAACTTTTTTGGAATTTTTTTTAGTTTTTAGTTAAAAAGCATAATTTCTAGATAATATGGCAACATAGGTATTAGATTAAATTTACAAGAAAGAAAATCCAGAAAAAATCCAGTGGATCTCAAAATGTTAGCAAAAAATCATTTTTTTGGAAATTTTCAAAGTAAAATAACTCCGTTATTTTGGAGTTCTTTGAAAAACGATAAAGAGAAAATATGTTTCTTTTAACGAGATCTACCACCCCTTAAAATACTTGCACTTATTTCTGGGACGCCCTGTAAATACAAAATACTTAATATCCATATATTTTAAGTATTTTTTATTAACAATTATACAGGATGGACTGAACTGTATTCGGGAAACGTTGGCAGCATAATAATAAGTAAAAAAGTTGGAATAAATATATATGTCCTAAAATGCTTAGTTTTGGAGATACAGGGTGTAGAAGTTTCATTTTTATTACGATTTTTTTCCAAATAATTTCTGAACTAACGTCGACATTTGGATGAAAATTGGCGTCTGGGAGTTTTTTGATACAAGGAATTTGATTTTGATGTTAATATGACTCCTACTTGTAGAGGGCGCCACCTACATATTTATCAAGCGGTTAGAAGATTTTTTTTTTGTCGAGGGTCGAACCCAGTACCACAGATTAGGTATACTATATGTATACAGATAAAAATCTTATCCCTAATTCGTGGTACGAAAATTGTTTTTTATGACGATGTGCAAACGAGTAAAATTTCCTGTGCGCAAAAATAAACTCGCGTAAAATAACAATAAACAGCGTAACAGAGATATATGGCTAAACCGAATAGCGTGCATGGACGTTAATAAGGCCAGGTGTTATTTCCTTTACGTGAGGTGGTATTAACTCTCTTCATTTATAGTTATCGGATCGGAAAGAATCCTAGTTATATATATACCTATTCTGTTCGCGTCCGCTATTTAAACTTAAACTAACTTTGAATTTAAAACTTTGAAATTGTTTTGTTTACTAGGTATTTTAAAACTAAAGGGCTAAAGTGCTTATTTCCAGTGCTTTATTGTTCAACGTCTTCCAGTGGGTTTAGGGCAACAAGCAACAAATTCTCTTAGAAGGGCTAAGTCGTCATCTGCTGTAAACCTAAGCCTCTTTATAGGTTCTTTAATATTGGAAGAGGTGGAATCCATATTTTAGGGCCATATTTATTTAATTAAAACTAATCCCAGCTACTTAAACATCAAATTATCTAATAAAACTAAAGCAATAATTCAAAACAATTCACATAACCTAAAATAAAAGATCTCGCCGGCCGGCCCCGGTTGTCAAATACCCGCACATGCCCATTTAAGCAATTTTTTTAAGCGTTATTTAGAAATAGCGCTTGGTGTAATTCGATCCGCAAATTACGTCAGGCGGTAACGTTATTAGCGGGTGTTGCATTAAAAATTGACTCGCGCATATCGTAACCATGATAAGCTACGCGTAAATACTGCATGACGCTATTCGGTTTTGCGATATCTCTCTAATAACTGTGCCGGTCAGGCGCTGTGCACAATTTTAGAGGCCATAAGTGGGCGTGCTATGTGCGCAAACTAGTAACCTAACTAGTGCCCGATTCCGAAAATTGGAACCACGAAAAACAATAAAAGAAAAAACAAAGTTTATAATCTGTATAATCTGTGCCAGTACGATCCCATCTCTCGCACCGCAGATCGACACACTACTGCTTGCGCTACGGTCGACCACAAAAAGCCGGTCGAAAAGTGCTCTGCAGTTAGACAATTCTATTAAGAAGACGCTCGCTCGTTAGATATGTAAAAACACGCTTTATAAACCGACATTTTTATTGCCCTGTAGCTTCTTAGTTTCAGTTTGATAATAATAAATAAATAAAAACGCTTTATTGTACAAAAAACAAAATAGCTTCATCGACAAAGCATTTACAAAACAAACAAAAGCACAAAAAATATACTGTTACGTTTTTCGTCGGTTCCGTGTGGATAGAAAGTCACAATTTATTTAAACACTATTTATTTAACACTAATTAACAAAAACAATAACGATTAAAAGACTTAAAGAACTATTTATAACTTATTTACAATTTTTCTAATTATTTATCTAACAGAAATTTATTTTCAATTAGTGCGGCGATTGTAACTGTACGCGTCGATCGGTTATTTATCTCTATCTCTCTTAGGCCTCGGCGTCTGCTTATATAGGAGAGAAACAGACAATCCAGATTTGTCTAGTAAATTCTTATTCGTTCTTAGAACGTGGCATTGCTGGGCGTATGAGTCATAGGCGAGTGGCCAGGCCTAAGGCTGAGTTCACACGGCACGGGTCTGCAACACTGCCCCCTTCTTAGGTACATGCTCTAGGTCGCGAGATGTACACGGTGAATGAAGGTATTTGCAAAGCTGACCCCTGGTACATTGAGAAGTCTGGTAGAAAAAACAGTCTACAGTTTTCTCGCCCGATCTCAGCTTTGGGTTATAGCAGCAAACGAGGATCTCGATTCCCGTAAATCTAAACAAGACTTCAATCATGTTCCGGATTGTACGCCAACTCAAACCATCGAGTCCACACGCCAGCTTCGGAATGGCTAATCGTGTAATGTTGTTGTTTAGCAGGGTTCAGGGAGTAATGTTGTTGTTTAGCTTCTCTCAGTTCAATAAGTGTCTTCCATAGATTGAGATATGTCGGCTTACTCGGGGACCATTCCTTGGTGACCAGGTAGAAGATGTGTCTTGCTTGACCATGTGCATTATCGGTTAGCCTCAAGACGCTTCCAACCTCTGGATCCTGTCGGCGTAGTTCTCCGACACGCCCAAACTTCTCATTGAACGTCGCAGCGATTCCTCTGGACATCCGCAAATCTCGGGCCACACAGTGAGCGAGCGAATAATCAGGAGGCACGGAAAAGAGGTCTCGTTGTTCTTCTTTGGTTACACCATAGTGAGTCTTCTCACTGCTGTTGTATCGGGCCATGAAATCGTCAAAGGACATCTCCGAATCAGGGGGATCAAAGCTGCAGGTTCTCGCGGTTCCAGCACGATCTTCTATTTCGCCTTGGTAGGGGCTCAAACGGTTGAAATGGACTACCCTCGGTTTTCCTTTTGGCAATTTTCTGATACGGTATACGACGTCATTAATCCTATCCATGACTTCGTATGGCCCTTCCCACGAGGATTGTAGCTTCGGAGATAACCCACGACGTCTCTGCGGGTTGTATAGCCACACCAAATTCCCTGGTTGGTATCCCCCATGCTCAGCTTGAATGTCGTAGTGCTCCTTCATTCGGTCACTAGCGCTTTGAATATTTAGGCGGACTCGCTGATGGATGTCGTCCATTCTTTGACGTAGTGTATGGACATAATCTTCTCCAGCGACATCTTCTCCCGGTCGGCAACCAAACTTCAGATCACAAGGTAGGCGTACTTCCCGTCCCATAATACCTAAAGATAAACATGAACTACGAAGCTTTTTGGGACTATGCACATACTATCGCCGCTATGTACAGGGTTTCGCCACCATCGCAAAACCATTGACCAGACTTACCGAAGGCGAGAGGCGTTTCTCTTGGGACTCCCTTCCGAAAATCGAAGAAGGCCCTGACTAGTGCGCCCATACTAAGCTATCCTCTTGGCAACGGAAACTTTATATTGGATACCGACGCTAGCAATATTGGGTTAGGCGCTGTTCTGTCTCAGATCCAGGATGGTCAAGAAAAAGTAATTGGTTATTTGTCTTAGACCTTGTCGAAACCGGAAAGGAACTACTGTGTAACCAGACGAGAATTACTAGCAGTAGTTAAAGCAGTGGAACACTTCTACAAGTAAGGGTGATGATTCTGTGGATCTACCGCAACTCCTTGGGAGGAGACTACATGGCCCAAGTAGTGTACCTTTTCTTGACACAGATGACATTTCTTGGGGCTAAGTTTCAAACCAGAGCTCCCTAGACGCTTGAAAACTTCTTCCAAATTCTTCAGATGATCGTCAAAGGATTTCCCAACCACTATGTCATCCAGGTACACTAAACAGGTAGTCCAGGATAGTCCCTTTAACACAGACTCCATTAGTCTCTCAAAGGTAGCTGGCGCGTTGCACAATCCAAAACTGTTAAAACCGACCCTAAAACCGTTAGAATTGCTTTAGCTTATGGACCAAAACGTGATTCACTTTTTAGGTTATGTTGTGGTGAATAGGGACATTAGCAAAATTAGACATGACTCGTTTTTATACGCCAAAAGGGAAAAAACTGTATCACCATTATGACCCCGAAAAAATTAAAAGGGCTCTTAAAGACATAACAGTTCGTAAAATATTTTACCGTCACACAGAAAAGTTGCATGGTATGGTATTCCTAGGTCAGTTTTATGTCGGCACAAGAAAGGAAATGTGAAGAAGAAAGAAGGAGGTCAGACAGTTCTAAATAGTGAAGAAGAGGATTTGCTAATTAGAAACATTAACACATGTTCTGATTGGGGATATCCAATCGATAGTTATGACCTAAGATTGATTGTCAAAAATTATTTAATCTTATGTTTTTAATACAAAAAAAAATCATAATAAATAATTTTTATGATAGAACATAATATATTTTTTTTCTATTATGTTGTCCCTTTTCCCCCAGGCTGTGTCTAAATAAGAATAAAGGTCGTAAAGACAAACTATCAAAAGAAGATCTTATTAAGTTCTATAACTTGGGAAGGCGATATCACAACAATGATGAAGGACCTAAAAGATGCAATACAGTAAAACTTCGATAGTTCGAACACATATCGGAACAGCGACCGCCGAATTAATGAAG